TAGACATGAATACAATATGGGAACCAGTAATACAGAGTTCTAGAGAAAAGCAACAATGACAAGAAATTGTAATATGAGCTCAAAAAAAAAAAAAATGATGGTTGATTGATCCAAAAAGTTACTTGACCCAAAGAGTTGTGAGTTCAATCCCTGAGGCCAGGAGAGTTATCAAGGCAAATTAACTAAAACCGAGATATCCAAAGGCATGGTACGTGGAACAATAAAGGATTTGAAATTCTAAAACATATCACATGAAGAAGGCCAGAGCATACGTTGTGAGTCTGACAATAAAGATGAGAACAGTTTGAACAATGTAATTAGTTAAAATACCTCATCTCAGAAAAAAAATGATAAACACTATTTATTTTTTGGAATAATTGGCAAAACATCAGCTAATTGTCAGTCTATTTGAACTTTACAAAATGGTAAATAGTAAGAATTTCATTATCATTGGTTCACATATTTTAATAATTTAGTATGAATAAAAAAAATTGTTTTCATATTCATTTCTTTACAAATTGGTAAATGATAAATATTATATTGCATTGCATTAGTTTTCCTTCTACTTTTAGAATGTTGTAAATATAAAATTATTCTTGCAAATAAACAATCTAATAAAAAGTGTTTAATATTTTTGTTGTCAGTTCTCAAGAACAAAAAGAAATATATTAAATTTTATTCCAATCCTAATCATTGCTTTTTTTAAAAAAAACAATAAACATTGCCGAAGAGTGAAGGTAGTTAAAAAAAAAGCAGTGTCTTGGGGGGGGAACATCACGTCTTATTGTAGGCATGTTTGCTGTTTGTTTTTCTTAAAAGCACCGAATGACTAAAAAATGCACCTTCTTGAAGTTGCTTTTAATCTGAAAGTACTTTCGTGTGTATCTACCACAAAGTTTACAATATTTTATGGAAACCTGAATAATACTTTAGCATGTGGTCAAAGCATCCAAAATTTGTTAAAGATCTATATTAGGTAACTGATCATTTTTAGTTCAGTATTACTTTTGTTAAATCAATTCCCAAGTATTGATCTCATTTCCAGGACTTGTTGTAAGCCAATTGGATTTATAAGAGGGAAATTTAATTTTAATTGGAATTATGTTCCTTGCCATTATTACTACAAATGAAAACACAGTTTTCTCCAGACATCAAAGTATGAATGCAGCAAATACCAAACAATATCTCAGTCACCAAAAGTGTGTAAGAAAAGATTTACTTTTAACATATATTTCAGCATATTCCCTTCTTTCCGTGGAAAAACATTCACTTGAAAGAAATACTTCATTGTATCTCTTTAGCATATCCTAGTCACTAGCACCACTACTCTTGTATTTTGGGACCATTATTAGGTAAAACTTATAAATTATTAATTTCTGAAGTGAACTGTAAATAGCCAATAATCTTTTCTTACACACTTTTTTATTACAGTTTATTATAATTGCATTATTATTATTATTATTATTATTGTTGTTGTTTTTTGACAAATTTATAAATTAGACTTTGTCCTAAGTATGTAGTATGCAGTTATCATAGGTCGGTAGAAAGTAAACAGAATGAATGAATGTTTAGGAAAAAATATAATAAAGTGAAATGCCAAAAAATTAGAGACAGTTATTTAATAATTTGCAGCTTATTCATTTGAAAAAAAAAATAATAATAGCAGTTTATGTAAGAGAGGAAGAAATCAAAGAATTGCCAGAGTCATTGCTTGTATTTATTCACCCTGGGGATTGTACGCAGGTGTTTGGTAGAAGCAAGGAATTTATTGTGGTCTGCAACATGTGTCTCATACATGCTTAATGGAGTCAAAATTTAGCAAGTGTGGTGGGGTAATGGAGTGCATGAAAGTTAGCTGAGTGTTTGGAAAAGTCTTGAACCAACCATGCAAAATGGGGGGGATGTATTAATTTGCTGAAATAATCACGTGCCCCCAAGAAGCATAAGTAAGCATAAAAGGGTTCAAATGACCCATAATACAATCTGTGAATGCCCCCCATTCCGGAGTTTTTCTTGGCAATGTACATGAAAGTTAGCCGAGTGTTGCTTGGAAAAGTTTTGCATCATCATGTAAAATTTCCTGTATTATTTTGCTGTAACAAACGATCAAGTGTCATGGAGTCTCCACAACACACAAACCTGACTGTTCTCAAAGAGTTAAAAACATTACTCGTCTGATTAGGTAACATAGCACCAAACTTCTACAGGCCAGTAACAATATTCTCCAGTCAAAGTGAGGAACAGTAACCAATGCCTTGGTGCTAATAATTATATTCTTGTCAGTTGATGACAAAACCCAATGTGTGCAGAACTGTGTATTCACTGAGGGGAGTGAGCAACATTAGCATGAACTATGATGAAATTTGATACAATGTTCCCCTTTGTTGATTGGTTACTGTCCTTGTAAGTCATTAGATGGACTATCCTTGCAGCAACTGTAGGAATGCAGTTTTCACGCATTTCTGTTTCTCAGAATGTACATATTTCTCATATACACTGGTTCCTGTTGTCCAATAAAAAATGAGCATGTGCCATGTTTTTCTGATGCCAATAATCATTCCATGGTGAAATATTAAATCAGGTTTGCAAACCATGGCTGCCACAGTTACATCATTTGGTTAAGTCTATTTTTCCAAGTCTTTTCTATAAATACTTTCATGGTAAGATCTTCGCTATGGTATCTAGACTTTTTTTAAGTGCAGTACTAGACTGGCATCAAGATCTCATCAATTTACAGCTGAGCTGGCTAGATGTACCTGTAAATTCTGTGCTAACAGTTTCTTTTTTCAAACTTCTCACTGTGGAACTCCCTTCTGGCTCCATGCTTTCCAGCCAATATTAATCTGCAAAAATTTAAATGTAATGTCAATCATTATCAACTGTTCTGATTAATTTTCCTCCTCATTATTAATGATTCTATTCCTAATTCTTCCACACCCTGCAACCAGTTGTATCTTAGTGGCTTTACTGCCTTGCATGGGATGATACTGATTAAAAAAAAAAGTGGGGAAGAGCAAAATCATCCAGTTTAGTGGTGTCTAACTTTTTGGCACTTAAGTTTATGTTTCAGAATTTGTTGAAGGTCTGGGAAAATAGCCTCATATTGTTTGACCCATTTCAAAAATAGGTTGTGCATACTTCGTTTTGGACTCTGACCAATCAAACAGGCCCACTTTAATACAAAAGGACATTTTCATGTAATGGTCAGAATTTTCCCCTGGTCTTGAAGTAGATCATTCAATATTGAAATATTATCATCAATAGAGTAAAAAAAAAAAAAAACTTGTATAACTTTCTACTCTAACTTTCTCTATGTAATAAAGGTTGCAATAGCAACCACCAAAAAGAAGATAAAAATGGAATGCTTTTTGGTCAATCATGTAAACCACTTCATCATACTTATTATAAAACCCAGGTTATGTGTGTGTGTCTGTTCGTTTATATATTTGATCGGATTTCCTACATTTTTCAACCGATTTCAACAAAACTTCACAGGACTACGTAAAATTACCTTGCGGTGGTTCTGACAGCGCCAAAAATTGGAAAAAACAATTGTTTTTGCATGAAATCAATTTGAAAACACGATTAAGAGGAATCGCTGTCGCGAGAATGGAAGAGGGACAACTCATATTGAGTTATACTTATTATAAAACACAGGTTGTGTGTGTGTTTATATATGGGATCGGATTTCCTACATTTTTCAACCGATTTCAACAAAACTTCACTTTTTTTTGGCAGGTAGTGTTTCTTATTGTCTTGCACAATTTTTTCTTTATTTATACATTCAGAATGCTTTAAAAATTCCATTTACAAGACAATTGTTTATAATAAAATTCTATTCAATCGGTAGACTCATAACGATTGAAAACAATGTTTTTGTTTGAGTTTGGGTTTGACCAATTCGTAAAAAAAAAAAAAACTAATTAAGATATGCGTTTCCGTCAACCTTAAACAATAATCTTTGCCAATTTTATTTTTCAGTCTTTATGATGGTCGATACTTGATCTATCTCCTACTGTTACATCCCTGGGCAACGCCGGGCTCTACTGCTAGTACTCAACATAACTTAAATAGTGGGATCAATTTTCCATTTCAAATTTTCCTTAGTTCTGTTTCCGGGAATTTCATTTTTTTTTTCATTTTCAGTATAGATTTTTGTCTCTGCTTCATTCTAATACTTAGTGAGAAAGTGTAACAATATAGAAATGTTATTAAAACAAGAAAATAAAAGGAAAATGAAAAATTTTACTTGCTGGAATATCTATCCATTGGATAAGTTGCTCTAGCTCAATAGGCTTTCATACCTCATACTTCTGCCCTATAGCACATTTCCAGAGGAATTGTATTAATTCATATTTCTATATGAATAAAAGTTTGATAGGAGGATAATGAAGAAACAATTAAACAAGAAGTATTTCAGGAAAGTAAGAAAGCTCTTAGAAACAAGATCAACAGTAGAAATTTAATAAAAAGGTGACTACATAGGCTGTTTCAGTATTGAAGTGCACTCAGGATATTCCTCTTCTGGACAATAGAGGAACTTAATAGATTGTTGAACCAGGTAATTAATGACAATACACAAAGCTGTACTCATCTTAAAGATAATACTGACAAATTGTATGTAAAAAAGAAAGAAAAGGATGGCTGCATTCAATCACATTTAATTTTCAAAAATATACACAACAGAACAAAAAACCTAGGATAAAAAGGACAACAGGAAAGTAGGGAATGCAAAAAGAAAAAGTAAAAACTATGGATTGATTGATTTCTTTTTAAGGTTATTTAAAGCCAAAAAATTTTGGGATCATAAATATTTTTTAAATTAATTGTCTGACAAGTTTACTATTTAACTCATAGCTGGGAGAAGAGGTAGGGGATTCATATCTTTTCAAAGGGTATTTTGCAGATAAGTGAATATAATTAACCCAACTGGAATTTGAACTTGCCTCTCTGATTTCTCATTCTGAGCCATTATCCATAATACCACATGCACAGCCAAGCATACAGCACCTGGTATTCCCAAGCGGTCACCCATCTAGGTACTGACAAGACTCAGACGTTGCTTAACTTTTGTGATCAGACAAGAATTGATGTTTCAACAGGATATGGTCATAAACCTAAACACTATGGAGAATTTTAAAGTTAAATAAAAACTATGACAAGCAAAGTTATGGACTTGATTACAGAGGACAACTAAAAAGAGAAATGCAATCTTTTAGCAGCACAAAAAACATATCAAGAAAAATGCAGACAAAATACACACTAAAAAAAAAAAGAATAAAAAAATCAAATACCACTTTCATAGAATAAAAAACAAGATTGTAATGTGAATGCAAGAAATTAACCGAGAATAAATGCAGGAGTAAAAATATCAGTGTAGACTGAAAGCAAGAAATATAAGAGAAGAAACTGAGAAAATGTATAGTTGCATCTAGCAAATTCAACTATAAAATGATGAGACCTAGCTGCCAATCTAGTACTACATATAAATTTGTAAAGTCAAAGTACCAAAGAGGAAAGTTCATCAGAATAATTAGCATGTAAGTATTTATAGAAAAGGCACAAGGAAGCTACATTACAGCAGTGGGGAAAATGACCGAGACACAAGCTCAGGACTGATAATACTTTGGATTTTATCAAGAATCTTTAAATACATAGCAGAAGCCCCAAACCAGATGTGGTAGCAATATCCAATACATGGATGAATGGTAAACTTATAGGTATGTAAGATAGATTCTGAAGAGAAAAATTGTCTAGCACAACACATTGAACTAACTTTCTTAGCAGCTGACCTATCTTACTTATTATAAAATGCAGATTGTGTGGTGTGTGTGTGTGTCTGTAACGTTTATATATTGGATCGGATTTCCTACATTTTTTAGCCGATTTCGACAAAACTTCACAGGACTACATAAAATTACCTTGTGGTGGTTCTAACGGCACCGAAAATGGGAAAAACACAACTGTTTTTTAACAAAATCAATTTGAAAACACGATTAAGACACATCGTGAGAATGAAAGGGGGACAACTCAGATCGGGTTAAAAAAACCCAGGTTGTGTGTGTGTGTGTGTGTGTGTGTGTGTGTATTCCTTTATATATGGGATCGGATTTCTTACATTTTTCAGCCGATAAAACAAACATCCACTTTCTTTTTTGGCAGGTAGTGTTTCTTATTGTCTTGCGCACTTTTTTCTTTATTTTTACATTCAGAATGCTTTAAAAATTTCATTTACAAGACAATTGTTTATAATAAAATTCTATTCATCAATCGATAGACTCATAACGATTGAAAACAATGTTTTTGTTTGAGTCTGGGTTTGACCAATTCATAAAAAAAAAAAAAAAAATATATATATAATTAAGACATGCGTGTCCATCAACCTTAAACAATAATCTTTGTCAATTTTATTTTTCAGTCTTTATGATGGTGGATACTTGATCTATCTCTTACTGTTATATCCCCGGGCAATGCCGGGCTCTACTGCTAGTATTCAATATAATCTTTCCACTTCATATCAGCAGGAAATCATTAGCCCAAGAAGGCACAATGAGAAACTGGTGGAAGGCAGAAAAGGTTCTCTAAGATGATTAAAAGAGAATAGTTTCATTTTGGAAGCATTAAAATTAAAAAACCATTCCTTGCCCCAATTAACAAGTAAGAAAGCCAAATCTAATTATTGCAAAAAAGTCAGCCAAATGGTAGATGAAAAAAAAAAAAAATAAACATTCAAAATTATCAAGCCCATTTTATTCATCCAATACATAGCCCAAGAGCCACTCAAGGTAATAGGTTACTGAATGCATTTGTTATAAGGGCATAAAAGGAGAAATAAGAAGTCTATATTATAAGGATATATAGGATAGATAACGGGTGACTCTAGAAGAAGTTAAGATTGTAGTGATCAAGAGAAGCATCCTTTTGGAAGTCTGTTCTCACAAAGTAAGTAAAGAAGCTGTGTGGAATGTCATCCTTACTAATGGAATATGAAAGGAAATTACAATGCGTCAATCCTGTATGTGTGGCATGGTAAGTCCTAGCTGTGAAGGTCTGGACTGATGGGAAAGGAATATAGCTTGTCTGAACATTTGCCATGAAAATAGCGATAAATTAATGAGAGACTAGCAAGACTTCTTTTATGGGAAAGTGGTTGTAGGGTGGAAAATAATTCATCACCCACAAGGCTGTATAAACGTTTTTGAAATGTCAACTGTAAGATGAGGACTGGGTAGCTGCAGCCCAGATATGACAGCAATATTCTATTTTTGGTCTGATCTGATTCCTGAAAATATAGAACATGGTAGTTGGTTGGTTGGTTGTTTTATTGCATATCAACCTCAGTAGGTCATTTAATGCCAACAAAATAATTGAAATAGATTCATAGCGATAGTTTAGTTTGGTTTGTTTTGTTTTATGGCATATCAACTTCAATGGGTTATTTAATGCCAACAACTTTTTTTTCCTGGTAATATTTTGTTTTGTCAAAAATCTATTTCTGGTAATATTTTTTTCCTCAAAAATGTATAGCTGGTAATATTATTTTTAAAAAAAAATGCATTGCTAGTATTTTTTTTTTTTCAAAAACATATTGCTGGTAACATTTTTTTCAAACATATATTGCTCATAATAGTTTTTTTTTTCTTCAAAAATTTATTTCTGGTAATAATTTTTTACAAAGTATTTCTGGTATTAAAACCCACTTTACACTCTCATAATGCTTTTTACCTCAGTTTCAAGGTTAACTATCTGCCCATAGCTTTAGGGATGGTCATATAGGAGTTCCATGTGAGGTCTGGAGTAAGCTAATCTTAATAGTAGGTGTCCCAAACATGCGAAAACGTCAAAATAGTGACATTTTCTTCAATTTCTACTGCTGATATTATTTTACTTATTTCTGAGGTTATTTTGATAAAATTATTATGTAAAGAAAATTTAATCTTTTCTCTTTATAAGTATATAATTCTTTCTTGTGTAGGATGACTATTTTTTTTTTTTATTCCACATCACTTTCAATTATGTCACTATTTCAACAACAGCAGATTGTTTTTCACATTTGCAAATCAGATAATTATATAATGGTGTTTTTAAAACTTGTTGCACTTTGAATTGTCTCCCCCTACACATATCAAAATATTTGTCCCATCTTAAAAAAAAAAAAAAAAAAGGACACTCGTCAATTTGGTGGGATTAAGATAAGGTTTGAAATTGTGTTTCACAAAAAATTTCAACTAAAAAAATGAGAATTGCGCCTTATTGTAGAGAAATGTCTCATCTTTAATAATTAGTGTCATATCTCTACACCCATACAACTCTAGGCAAACACAAATCAAAAAGACTTGATAAAAAATTAAAACTAAATTTGTAAAAAAAAGTCCAGTTTTCATTCATTCATTTGTAGGTGGCAATGTTACCTAATTCACATGATTTAGGGATTAAACAGAAAATTTATTTACATTTTCTTTTAAAAATGAAACTAGATACATTTTCCAAAAATAAAAAATGAACTGGATATATATTTAAGTGCTTGGCTCCATCAAAAATTCAAATGTAATTCAGAGGTCATTTTCAAAATGTAATCAGTCTCTTTTACTTCTTTGTTGATGATTGATGATCCAGGTTGGATTTCAGATATTACAGATCTAATAACTTAACAGATTATGTTTAGTAAATCCAGGTCAGATTTCAAAGGTTAAAATGAGATTGTTACATTTAAAAAAATAAAAATAAAAAAAAAAATATAAAAAATTGGATACCTTTTAGAGTTTCTCAATTTTTTCAAATATATGTTGTCTTTCTGTAATTTTTTTTTCTTAAGGCATTATGCAATATAATAAGCGTAATCATTTTTAAATGGGTGTCTTTTTCTTTGTATTCGTGCTTTCCATGACAAAGACACCAACTTGGATGATTAATAAAATTTACATTTAATAATGCCTTGAGAAGAACTTTTCTTCTAAGTGGGAGAATCAAGCCAAAGAAGCCCCCAAATTCCTTGCAATGTCTGCTGATAAAGTTAAAAATTGTGTGATGAAAGGAACAGAGTGATATAAGCTTTAATGAAACTTCATATCCACATATAAAAGAAAGAAAATTCAATGAATCTGAATATTCAAACAATTCTAGCATTTGTGATGTAGAAGAACCACTTTAAATGACCTTCCATTACGAGCATCAAGGCCAGTGGGTTGCAACATAATATTACATCTCTGTTCAATGGTGTAATCAAAATTTGAGTTACAACCAAAGGTAGAAATTATTAACCATGACTTTTGATGGCCTTTGTTGGATGACATTGCATAAGTGGTACCAACATTTGTCTTGAGATGGGACTTAGGTGATAGGATATAGTGTGTTCCAGGAATATTGGCTATAGCAGAGGCTTATACACAAATTTAGGCTTCAAATTACCATTAGGCTAGGAAATGCTGGAGGACCATTCTAACTAGCCAGAAAGTTCTTTTTCATCAGTTCTAACAAATGCATTTTTATTCATTTGTCTTTTAATTTGAGGACAAAGAAGTTTAAATCTTTATGATAAGCATTTGTCTGAAGAACTGTTGTTTTGGCAAGTTAAAAATTGCATAATTTCACAAATTACAGTAAAAAGAGCTGTTGAATTCTTCACTTCCCAACTTAGTAAAGTTTAAAAAATGTACCTCTAATGGATACTTTTTATGGCAAATTCTGGCAAGTACTTTTGACCTGGTTTGCCCTGCTGCCAAGTTGTGCTTCTTACTATTTTTATATCAGATGAGTTTTTTTTTTTTTTTAGATATAAAACAGAAAAAGAAAATTTAGCTTCATCAGTGTTGTGCAATGAATCACAGTGAGAAGTTGCAAGACATTAGAATGAAACAAATGGCCAGTCAAAATTGCCCTTCTGTGTCATGTTTTTGGGGAAAGCAAGTTCTCCTAATGTATAAACTGATCTGATCTTAGAATTATTGATTCCATTAGAATTATATTTATTTTACTTCAAAACTAGATATATGGGATGATGTTTCTAATGATTTTTCATTTGTTTGAAGCCTGCATCTTCAATTATCCACTGTTGAAATTAGCTTCTGGCCCAATAACACGCAAGACAGAAAATGATGCCCAACTTTGAATGGT